CATGTGTGTATACATCATTTGCTGGAAATATGGAGTTATTTATAGACTACTTGATGGAAGTGTCATGAAACGTGGTCTACAATGCTGTTGATAGAAATGACATGTATCATTCACTGTTGGCCTGAAGCAGCAAAAGCAATCTGTTGGGAGCCACTTAAAGGAACAACAAAATTATGTGATGAGAGGTCATAATTTATACATCCAATCTGTTTTATCATTTATTAATACAGTTCATTTATCATTCTAAAGGTGATTTTAAAATGCACAGTTAATATTAAATTTTCTTTGCAGAAATTGCTTGAATAAAATTTCTATTAAAAATAAGTTGCGAATTGACTTCATGAAATGGGGATGTTTGAAAACCTTAATTATGAGCTCTCATACATTACAATTTGTATCTAACTGAAAATTATTCAAAACTGAAACATTCCTACAAATATATGGGAAAGAGGATATGAATTTGATCTTCAATTTCTCTGCATCTTTATTTTCAAATTTCTTCTTCAATGAATTTTAAGCACTCTTGGCCTATATTTCATATAAGTCATTATGGGGAAAAAATTGTGAAATATTCTCTGCAGGTTTTGATAATTGTGTTCATGCAGCTGTTGTGTGTGTGTTTCCCTTCTTTTCTTCAATAACAGGAATTACCTGTAACTGACATTTGAGAGCATTAGAAGTTACATGGCCCAAAAAATGTACCTGAAACAACCTCAAATGTTTGTGATTATTGTTGTTAAATGATGTGGTTCGTAATCTTTAAAATATTTTAAAGATTATGTACTACATCAAACATACATGAAGTAATTGAGATTTATCACCAACCCTATATATTCATTTTGCAAAATATTTTTCACATTTTTCTCATTACTGATTCATTTCAGAAAGGTTTCTTCTAGAAATACTTCACACAAATTTCTCTTAGTAGTGCTGAATATGTTTCTAAAAATAAATGTTGCAAGGGAGATAGCAAGCTAAATACAATTTTATACATTTTTTTAAACTACATTGTTAATTATTGTATCAATTAATAATTTGCAGAATGTAATTGAAAGCTATTAACTTTTTTATTTGATACTTATATCTTCAGGAGAAACAGATTGTGTTCACCTGTAAATTTACAGTTAATACATTTAACATGAAATAACATCAAAATATTTAACAATATTCAACCAAGCAGTTTAGGAATATGGCCATAATAAACTCTGTTTTCTTTGCCATTTTCAAATTTTCATTATCTTTTTCTTTGGTATAAACCAAAGTTTTGGTGTTTTTATAGGCATTTGTATTTGACAAAAAATTATGTTATTTTTATGTAGGATTATGATGTGGCCTAACATCCCTAAATGTATACACAACATAAAAGAAAAATATGCTCTTTCCTATGTGAATCAAATGTAGCTTACCAAACTTGAACAGAGAAATTTCATAATTTAATAGTATATCCAAAATCCCTACACCAGTGATTGTTGGGCTAAATTCTTTGCTGTGATTGTGCATTCTATATAAATGAATCTTGATGTTTACGATTTAATTGTCTTTAAACTGCCTGCTCAGCACCTAAGTCACATACAGTTTTTACTGTTTTCTGACAATAAAATAATTTAAATTTTTAAACATTTGTGATATAGTTTTTGTTTATGTGTATCAGAGCTGTGTGTAGAACACTCAATGGGACAAATTTTTACTCCAAAATACAAGGACCATTGTAAAACATACAGCTAAAAATTTAGTTAAATACTAAATTTTCAAAATCCCATTCATCCTCTAAAAGCAAACTAAAATAATGATGATGATAATAATAATAATAATAATAATAATAATAATAATAATAATAATAATAATAATAATAATATAATTACACTATAATCACAATCACAATCATAATCATAATAAGTCCAAAACAAATTGGCTGAAATTCCAAAACACTAACTCTTAATTATGAAAATATCAGAGACACACATTTACACAAACTTAAGTCTGCTCTTGCTGATGAAAACAGGTCTGAGTTAAAAAAGGTATAGTGAAATTTGGTTTGAGATGTAATAAAAAAAATCAAAACAATTTAATCAAGAATCATTATCAGTCATAGAGAAAGAAAACCAACACCTCTTCCTCAAACAGTTGCATTAATACATTTAGTGAATAAAAACTTCAAAACTCAAAAAAAGATTGATGAAATAAATTAATAGTTCAGTATCATACCCACAAAGACAATATTTCCATTAATTCCATATCTTATCATCTAAATTAGATTGTGGGTGGTAATCTACAAGATTTTATTGAATAAAAGCTTTCTATTTGCTTAATAAACTATTCTCTTACAGTTCAATTTTTCATACTTAACTCTATATGTTTCAGATAGTTTAGAAATAAATATCATGGACATTTCTTTAAACTATCAAATGAGTTCTGGACATTAAGAAATGTATGCCAAATGTTAAAAATTTTTCCAATATACAATTTACATGAGACATTATGGTCATGAATTGGTGTTTTTACAAATAATAGTAATGATTTAAATTAAGCGACCTAAATAAGTTGAATATTATTTTTCTTTTTTAACAATATAATTGTTTTTTGACAATTATAGGATGTATTTGTTTATTGCAAATAACATAATACTTATCTGTTCAAAATTTTAAAAGTGGGGGGAAAATTGTATTAAAAACTTAAAACTGTTTTTATTTGCACATGTGCCCAAGAAGAAGGTTTCACGTGATTCTATCATCTGTCTCTTGCACTAAAAGGAGTTACCAGCCTATCTTGGATTTATTTATTTTAATTAAAATGTGCTGCTTTTTCAAACAGCTCTCTTTAGATAAATTAGCTTGGAATCTTCATTTATTGGGTTCTTTTGCTAGGAAACAATTTTGTTTCAATTTCTTGAGTACCTGTCAGCATTCTATTACTGCTATCACAAGATAGAGGGAGAAGAGGGAGAAAGGGGGCAGACCACATGAAGGGGCCTCTTATCAGGGTGACACCAATTCTTACTTTTATAAAATAACAAATTTTACAAGTTTAAAACTTAATGAAATTTCAACTTTATTTGAAACAGAAATTTTTCTGTAGACATCAATACTTAACTACTAATTATTATATTTAGAACCAATCACATGCTAAGGTTAATATATGGTGAATTCATCATCTATCATTATGCTTGAAAAATTGCTGTATGAACTGAAAGTCATTGTGTATAAGAGATATAAAACACGATCAAATAATTATATTTCTTTCTATCAAATGTTTTAATTCACTATTACATTTCTGACAATTAAAGTTTGATTAGGTTACCAATTCTAAATAAGTACTTACTTACTTCTTAAAGTGTACATAAATCATTTTCATGAAAATGACACGTTATTGGTTTTGCTGCTGCATTAACAACATACAGATTTAACTTGCATTCTTATTTGATGCAAGAGTTGCAGATTTAACTTCATTATTTATTCAACATTACAAACTTTTCATGAGTTTTGTAATTTTACCTATTTTTATAAGAAATATTTTTTGTAAAAATTAAATATTATTTGGATAAAGTAATTTTTTTTTAAATTATGAATTATTTACATTTTCATAAAATAGTGATTGAAAAATAAGAAAATAGTGCTAAGTATAAAATAGGTCATTGAATAGGTTAGATGATAACTAAAAAGGGAATGACACCATATGTAGCATCTCCATAGGTTCAAAAGTCAATATTAATTTCAAGACCAACTAATTAACACTTGATTATTGATTAATTACCCTTGAATATAATTTGGGAGTCTTATAATATTGTTCGAATGTTTGAAGGGTATTCTTACACTATTAAATTATTCTCAAGAAAAAAGAAAAGGAAAGAAGGATGGTTGTAGAGGACCATCCCATGTGTAGCTTATACTTAGAACAATTAAAATACTAATTTAATAATTCACACCTAAGGTAATACATTTTCTGTCATATTTATTCATCTAATTTTTCTTTCCCTGGTCTGATGGTTTATTTTATGCTTTTTCATTGTTGGACTTAATAATTTAGGTCATTAGGCAAGGGGAAGGACTTAAGTCTGCTCCCTATAAATTGATGACTAATATTCATAAATATAGTTTTCAATCATTTTCAAAACTAACAAAGGTTATCCAGTATCTCAACTGAAGATGATAAATCAACAAATAAAAATAAATTTTAAATTCAGGTAAAATGAATAATTGTATATTAGAAAGCATCAAGTCAGCTGCCCACTATGTCCCTTGCCAGTTTCACAACTGTTGTAGCTTATTGTTCCATTTTCACAGGATTTTGTTGAGTCCTATAACATTGTTCAGTGAATTATAGAAATGTTTTTTCTTAAATTTTTACGTTTTTCTATATTTTCTCAACATTGAAAATTATTTCCAAAACCCTCGAGATAACCTCAATCAAAAATACTCGTCAGAAATTATATCTCATGGAATCATCATGTTCAGCATTATTTCAAGTTGCTCGATTTGTCCGTTTTCGTCGTAATTTTGTATTTTAGTTAAATAAGAAACTGGAAGGCCCATATAGCCACATTCGAGTCTTGGCTCTGGCGGTCTGATCACCGCAGCAGACCAAATTTATCAGTGGAATACTTTAAGAACGCTTTAAAAGGGATTACAGCCGCTAGCATGGTCCTCTGCCTATATCCTTACTGGCGTTATTTTTTTTTTTAAAAAAAACGGACTAAAATTTTAGTTTACCCCTGGTGGGACTCGAACCCACAATCCCCGGTTTAGGAGACCGATGCCTTATCCATTAGGCCACAGGGGCTACACGTGTGACGTGACATACACTAAGGAGTATGTCTTCTTTAAAACTAAAAAAATTAAAATTAAGTTTTTTTTCTTTATATTTATTGTTTAATGATTTTATTAAAATATTTTTAATGTAATAATTATACGTTGGGCAAAAAGGCAATACCTTGTAAGGTCATTAAATATATTTTCAGTTTACGATAATAATATTTTTAATGAATTAAATATTTTTATTTACAGTATTATAAATAATTTACACCATTGTGGGCAAAGATGGAAGAAAAGGGCCGAACGTCGTGCTAGCGTCGTGCTGACATCTATCGGCAGATCTCCAAACAATCTCATATCACGACACCTGGGCGAAGAAACTCTGTTGGAAGAAAAGTGAACTGCTACATTCTACAGCATGGTCAATCGATATTATGATGGTATGATGTCAACTTACCTCAGCGAAGATGTTTTGGGATTGTGTACTTAGAAAACATGTACATTCTGTTAATAATTTGTTAATAAACTGTTGTTAATATCATCTACCTCGTTAGTAAAAAAGACGTTCATAAATGTTACACAAATATTATCAACACTGAACAAATAAAAATCTGAGATTTTAATTTAAAGTTCGGCAAATATTTGCAATATTCCTGATGTCGGTCAATATGCTGGGAAAAGATTTAATAATTCGGTAAGTATAGAATACTTACAATACACTCATATTTTCATAACATTACTAACCATATCTTATCAAAATGGCGGCTAGCGCCTAATTTGAATTCTGATTGAAGCCCTGAAAATAAACAACTGAAGCCGCTTTCAATACTATTTTGACCCCGGATAACACTGCAGAGACTGTGACTAGGAGGTCCTAGGGTTCGAGTACCGAAGGTGGTGGATAGCCAGGTCGAATTCAGCCGTTGTCTGGAGGAGAAATCTATAGCGACCGGCTGCTCTGATGAGTTCTGATCAATACCAGGCGAATATAGGGGTAACAAACAGACCACGGGCCTCGCACGAGCTTCCTCTTCTCAGCTTTGTTCTAACCTTGCCCTTACACACACACTTATAATTACAAGCTCTCCACTATCACATACATCGGCAGACCAGTCGGGAGCTTAGAGCTTATCCTGGCGGTGCTCCCCTGGGGGAGATATCTGGTCGGGGAAAATTCCGCAAGTTGACAGTTAGATCGGCGACGGATTTCACGTTCTAGCAGGAGAGGAACACCGCCCACTGAAAAGTAATCTTGCTTTTTTGTATTTTATTCAGCGTTCTTTCACGACTTCAGTTTTCTGCTAAGTTTACTCGTTTAAAGGACATTACTGATATTGATGAAGCCTACACAATACGACGACGACAAATGGAAACAGTGGCTGAAAGTGAGATTGAATGGCAGTGCTTTTGATCAATTGAGAATTACTCAAGTTTAAAAAATATTGAGTCTGAAGAGTTTATATACGAGGATATGCTTATAAGTTTACATAAGCAAACACAACTAATAAGTTATGTTTGGGGTTACATAATGTTAAATTATATTTCAGCGTGCTAGATTAAATTTAGTCGGCAGTTAAATAGTATCGATAACGGACAAATTAATTAGATACATTAAATACATCAATGGTTCAGTTTCACACAACGCGTAAAACGCCTATCACGTTACGTTTCAAGAAATAGTCTGATATGAGATCAATGATGACATGAAAATATGTTTTTATTTTCTCGCCCTTCGTAAGAAGAGAAACTACTGTAATCTTGCGCCGCAAATCGGCGACTTTTTACAGAAAAACTTACTGCAATCTTATTGCAACGAAAAACTGAATAAATCGTGTTCCAATACTTATAAGTATATTATTTCCTCTAATACATCGGGTAGTCAGAATCCATGTTTTGTGGGTCATTGATACCGAAAAATCGATTCACGGCAAAGCGTCTGTCTCTCCATCTGTCTGACTGTGGTCAACTATAGCCCTTAAACCGTCCAGACGATTCTTCAAAATTGATACGATTTGTATTCCCCAATATATCTGAATGAACTCGAGCCCCTGCGAGTTTGAAACTGATATTTTAATTTTTGGGGGTACAAGACGCCTCAAAAGCATTTTAAATGTTTTATCAAAAAGTGCACCAATATTTTTTATTAATCTTTGCCCTCGGATAGAGCAAAAACCTCTTATGAGAATTGCGCAGGTCTCATTTTCATTGAAATACCTGATTTTTCGAAAATTGCATTAGTGTAGTTTTTTCGGCGTCTTCGTACAACAACAATATTCAAATTAGAGGTTTTTTTTCTTTTTTAAAAAATTCTCAAATTAGAGTATTTTAAAGACAGATATTGAAATAAAGTTTTCGCATAATTTTGCGCAAAATATAAGAATTTTTTAAACAATTATTTTCTCAAAAACGGGCCCAATTGTTTCTTTACATTTTCTCCTCGTAAATATCTTAGAACGGTAAAAAAGTGGCACAGGTCCTATTTCCTGGACTAACAGTCCAAAAGTAACGGTCTCTATCCTCAAATTTGCAGTTACAGATGTTTGACTTAAACAAATTTGGTTTAAAAAATCGTATGCATAAAAAAGGCCAAACACTTTTCTTTCTTTTTTTTTTTTAATGAGTAATTTTCCCGTACTTTCTGCTTGAAGTTAATGCAAATAATAAATAAATAATGACCGAGATCTCATTTTCGTTAAACTCTCAGGATTTTCGAAAACTGCAAATTTAGAAATAATGCGTGGAAGTATATTTGCTATACGTACGTATGTGCTGTTGGAACAGCACTAGTTTTTCTCTCTCTGCGAATTCGTGTCTCCGTCCGTCTCTGTCTGCCTGCGTGTCAACCTGCGTCTGAACCTATTATGCTCCTCAAGTAATAAAACAATTTTTTTTCACGATCGTATAAAAATGTGGATTTCTACGTGCTGCTACGCGTGCGTGAAGTTAGTATTTCCTTAAAAATCTGAAAAACGTGCCGTTGCCGTGCGTAAAAGACTTTTTGCACGGTGACGTCACAGTGCGAACAATTTTTTTACTCACGGTAGGTAGTTCACAAGAGAAGTAAAAAATAAATCTCACATTAATGGCAAAACTACTTTAATTTCACTATTAATAAACCGGTCCCAATTAATTAACAGTTAACACTTAATTAGTACGCAACTATTAACACTTAAGGGACTAATGATCTTAGCAGTTGACGCGCCCGATCAATAAAGAATAAAATTTTATACGATCGCAGAAAAAAATGTTTATATTTCGAGAGTGGAGTTTTTTTTCTCGATCTCGATTGAGGGTTTTTTTTACTTTGGCCTATTAGTCTCGGCAAAAAACTCATTGCATATGTTTAAAATCGTGTATAAATTGTTAAATGATTTCACTACTATTACAGGTAAAATAGTTAAAATTTAATGTATTAATCATTGATACGCATTTTAAATTTCGACAATTGTTTGTTGAAACATTGTTATTATAGAAAAATTAATTAAAAAATCGTTTATATATTTTATTTTCAAATTGTATATTTTTTTCTTACACAGATTCAGGGACGTACCTAGGGTAGTGCAAACGCCTGCCGCTGATTCTCGAAAATATTAAAAAACATCCAAAGTTGTATTGACGTAGGGGGAAATATAAGCTGCGCACGTTTTCTTGAGCTTCAAAGTATGTACTGGTCTATTTTTACTACATATACATTGAAGATCGATGCGATTAAAAGTTCTAGAAATCGTGCACAGATTAAACGACCCCATACTTCAAACCATTTATTAGCTGTTTTCGGACTTTAAACAATTAATAAAGATACTAAAGAGCGTGGTTGGCAACATTTGAAAACTAGAAATGTTTGCTTCCAAGAAATTGAACCTTTACTTGCATCGGCAAACGAACTACATGCGCAATTGTGTAGTATTGCTGGCAAAATAACATCCTCCGCTCTACTCCTCCCGCATGTAGCAAAAAGAGAGCTCGAAAAAACTTGTCCTTGCGCACAAAACGTGCCTTTGCTGTGTCTTTGAAGAGAACCGTGTGGTTTTTGTGAGGAAAGGCTGTTTTAACTGAGGTTCATTCTGCATTTTAAGAGTGTATTACGAAGGCTGCTTTTCTGACGAATATGCTGACTGGCAGTACAATGAACGTAAAGCTAAATAAAAGAAACGTTTTCCTGAACTGCCGAACACAGCTGACATAATGTGCAATAGTTTCCATCATTAAGCAAAATATTCCTTTTGTTTGTTGACATCGTTATAGGGCGTGCCTCACTAACTTCGCTTTTTTATTATTTTATTTTCGAGTTGTTTTTACGAAACATTCTGGTCAACGATTTGCTCGTAATTAGTGGTGGTAAATGTAAATAGCGTATTACGTAACGACATCTCCACCCTTTATAGTTATGCATTTGTGCCGACATTCCATAAAAAGTGTCAGAAATTAAATGCTGAGTTCTACATTCATCTAAGTTCATTTTATGCTTTAACACGAATTCGTACCTATAAGTTAATGAGAGGATTTATTTGCCACCACCTTTCTTATGCAGATAGAGGGTTCTTCCGCACAAGAAACAATGTCTCTGGCGATTACCTCCCGCTCTTACTCGTATGTTTCAACAGCATTTAGACTTAAGGAAAGCAATTCAACTCATTATGAAACTATTTACCATTGTTTGACAAATTTTAACCATTTCAAACCAAAGAACGAGTTTACTTTTTCTACTTTCGAGGGACCCTCTCAAAAATATTTCATGGTTAGACATCAAATCCATCAAAGACACTTTACTTGAGTAATTTCTCCAAAGCTTGAATGCATGGCTTACTATTCTTCGAGTTACTAAGAGATTAAAGCTGCATGTAGAACTACTGCAGTACTACAGACTCATTGAAAGAGAGACTGAATCCATAATATTTTCATAAACTTCCTTTAGCTGCATATTATGTATTAAAATGCAAATAACTAAAAAAAATCAATCGATTGAAGTTTAGACATACAATCAAATTTGTTAAAGAATTCTGGTCTTTATTTTCTTTCGTTATACTTTTCAACGTTATATCTAAATTGTCTATTTTCGGCGAAAAAACTTCAAAATGACGTGATTCTCAATAATCAACTCGCGGTAAACATACAAAAATCTATATTACTAATTTCTAATGCGCGCAGAAATTGAAAGAAAGCTTTGCAGCCTTGGACCATGTGAGAGTGAATGGTTTTGTTAGATACCCAACCACTCGGGAAAAATTCAGAAACAAATAAAGAGTTTCGTTTTGGACAGGAAAGTGCAAATATCTGAATGCGTTATTCAGCCCATTATCAGAATGCGCGTACAGACTCAATTCTGTTATTCAGTTCATTACTGCATACGACACAGCTGGTATGCGGAAGCAAGGCTCCAAGGAAGAGGCCGCCAGCCATTTAAATATTTGCTATGCACGTCTGTAGTTATAGGATGTGGCTCAGTGCGTAGCGCACTGACTTCGCAATCGGGAGGTGCGGATTCGATTCCCGGGCCGGCCATCCTGACCGGGGTTTTCGTGGTTTCACTCGCGTTAATAAGGCTGGTTGGCAGGAATGCTGGGATTGGTTCAAAAAGTCCACGATCACC